GCCCGTGCTTTGGGTACCGGCTTATTTAGCCCATACCTTAGCCAAGTTTGACAGATGGGTAGGGAAGACAAGGGGCGAAGGAAGGTCAAATCGTTCAAGATCAGATCAGGCTGGGGAAACGGTTCCTGGGGCAGAGGAAGGGCGGGGCTGGGGAACTGGGGGTGTCCTTTGCAGATCCCCGACCTTGGAACTTCTCAGCTAATCATTCTGGCCGCCAGTGGAGCGCCGACACAGCCACTTGGTTAGAGACTTGTATTTTTCTTGGCTGCGTTTTTTTTCTTTCGTACATCCCTACGACCACCTGTCAGTTTTTAAGCACTGCAGTCGGGAGGGATTGTGTGGTGTGTAAGAAGGAAGACTAACCGAAAAGTCATTAAGATCTTAGTCCTAATTTTGCCTTTTACCAAGAGTAAGAAATAAACATTGCTTACCAACTGCGTGCTCCATGCACCTTGAGTAAGTTCTAGTTCCAGCCACAGCCTGCGAAGTTTGCGTCCTCACTGCACTTTGGGAGAGAGCGGGAAGTCAAGTCTGTGTGGTTCCACACCTGTACCCTTAAGCGAATTGTTCTCCTTCCCCCATTTCTTTGGTTTCACAAGGAAACTAATTGTGAAAAATTAACAGATTTTTAAAAAAAGTCAATGGTCTAAGTATCCAAGTGGAAAAAGCTGTTTATGGTAGTCAAAACAAGGACTCCACAGTCAGACTGCTTAGCTTGGAAACTGGCTTCTCTGTTACTAGCTCTATGACCTTGGGCAAGTTACTTAACCTGTGTCTATTCTCAGTTTCCTCTTGTGTAAAATGGAGCTAATAATTAGATTTACCTGGAAAGACTGTTGCAAGGATTAAATGGGTATAGGGTATCTAAGAGCTGTGTGTGACACATACAAGTGTTTACTTGTCGAATCACCACCCAAACCATTTACAAGCCTCACTATTTAAGGGTAGAATTCTAGGCCACTGATGCAGACATCACCCAGGGCTGCTCCTCATTATGGAGAGGTTAGTGCCCCAATCAGCAGTTTAGGTACCTGTCAAAGGTCAGAACAGTGTCTGAATTACTCATGTTTTCTATGCACGGAGGCTAAAAAGAAAAAAAAAATTCTACTGTTCCTGCTATTATACTTTTCTGCTATACAGGTGTTTCCTTAGTCATGTTGAGAGTTAAGGAGACTTTTCTTCTTGAGCCTTTGGCCACTACTTCCTCTAGGTCTTTGATTCTAATTTTCCTTCCCTTTGCCTTTCAGATCTTCTGATTAGTGTTTTCTTGCATCTCTCTAGTCACCTTCATTGGAGAAAAATACTGCTAAAACCACTGAACTGACATCTTAAGAGAATTTTGTGTATGTCTCAGCATAAAGTTTCAGAATACAAGATCCTCAAAAGATAAGAGTTCTTTACCTCAAGCCTTGAACATAAGTGATGTGTAAAGGTTGAAAACACTAACCTAATGCGGTTTGGATCCTGTTAGGGTCAGAAACATTTTATTAAGTACCAGCAGTGTGCTGAGCACTACGACAGAGCTGGGGACGCAGAGCTAACACAGGCCTTAGGTGGTCTTGTAAAGGGTAAAGATGCTGAAAGTCAGTTTTGGTCCCCGGTGGTGAGGGCAGCATTGCCTGGACCTTGCTGCGGGCTATTCGTTACCTGTGTCTGGGGCCCTCCTCCCTCCATCATACTAACACCTCATCTGGCAGGTCTCATCTTACATAGCCCTGCTCCCTAAAGTTTACCCTTCTGTCCCATCCCACCTCCAGTTTTCCATAAAAACCTTGATTTCTCATAGCACTGACACACAACATTAAATTTTCCTGTTTACTCCTTGCAGTCTTTGCCTAGAGCCATGACCCCTTGACCCTAGTGTCTGTGACAGTTTTCATGTGTTCTGTGTGCCGAGCTGACTACTTGGCAATAGGAGGTTCAATAAATAATTGTGGAGTGATTGAATAAGTAATAGACATTTTGATAACTGAATATGGCACTTAAGCCATTATTTCTAACAAGTATTCTGCTTGTATAAACTGGTTTGATCCTCACAACAGCTGTGTGAGGTTGATGTTATCATCACCTAGAGATGAGGACAATACGTCAGAAAAAGGATAAATAGCTTAGCCAGAGTCACCCAGCTAGGTGGTCTGGCTGGCAGGTTTCTGTCCCCCATCACCATGCTTTGTGTGCACTGCCAAGCCCAGAGGAGAGGCCTTGGAGTGAGTGATGCTTGAGCTGGGTTCTAGCACAGGAGTTACGGTTGGCAGGTGAGGAGGCAGAGAGGAGCATTCTGGGCAGGGGAAATATGGCCAGGGCAAGGACCTGGAGGTAAGAAACAGTGGCTGGAACTGCTGGATGTCAAGCAGAAGGTGGGAGTTGCAGGAGCTGATGCTGGAGATGGCGGTGGCGGCTGCATCGCGGATCACTGTGAGTGCCTCTCTCATCAGTCTCAGTCATTAAATAAGTGCAGAGTGTTGGGCAAACGTAGACCTGGGCATATCGCCTCATCTAGGGGCTCAGGAAAGGTAGTGTAGAAATGAGGACACCTGTGCCTTCCTGGGGTTGCAGACTCAGAAGTGTAGGGGGCCAGGTAGTTAACCTAAATGTGTGGCTGGGAGGGTGTGCACACATCCCTTCCTCTGGCACAGCCGTGCTCAACTCCTGCCAACATTTGCCATGAGGGGTAGAGGCTCAGTCTTGCCAGATCTAATTCTCTCAAGACAAGTTAGAAATCTAAGCTTGTATGAGAAGCCTCTCAATTTTCCAATGCCAGCTCATTTTCAAACAGCAGGATTATAGGGTTGCCAGATTTAGCAAAGAAGAATACAGGACACTCAGTTCAATTTGAACTTCAAATGACAAAAACATTTTTAGTATACGTATGTTCCGAATATTGCATGGGGTATGCTTATATTTAAAAAAAATTATTTGTTGTTTAGCCGAAAATCAGATTGAGCTAGGTATTTCACCGATTTTATCTGGCAGCCTTAGGTGGGAGCCAGACATAATTTGTGGTCTGTACAGGACCCACAGGGCACCAATTTGCAACCGCTGTGGCGTGTGCATAATAATTAGTCAGCTGAGACCGTTGGGAGTAACAGGTAGCTAAGGCTGGGAGAGCAAGGGGGCTGGTGGTGGAGTCCCTGGGCCACGAGGGCTTTTGGAATGACTCAACATAATTTAAGGAAAAGCTCCAAGGGCCAAGGCCCCAGGACTAGAAAAGGGCTTTCAAAGGCACAGGCTTCCCTGCCTTTCTCAGCAACTGTCGTTCTCTGCTTCTGCTTAGACCCCATTGACCCCATTCTCTCCTATTACAGAGCCGTCTCCTCCAGAGGTAAGGGGACACAGCTGTGGACGCCCTTGCTGGCAGCACTACTGGAAAGGGCTCCTTTCTCTCCAGACTGAATCTGACCTCATTGGAATCACATGCTCATACCTTAATCAGTATTATCAAGGGGTGAGAAACTCCAGTTGTCCAAAGTCGAGTAAAGTACCTTGGCCAGAAGCAAGTCTAATGGTGTGCAGTAACCATTGGTAGCTTGAAACTGGCCATGGTGGGATTATTTATACCATGGAAATGAGCAAACGCTGCAAGTCAGGGCCTTTTTTTTTCTTTTCTTTTAACCAGCACGCAACTGATAATAATAGCAATACTTAAATTGAATTTACTTGTATGCCAGGCACTACTCTAAGCACCTGGGGATTTATATTACATGTGGGATTTACATCTGTTAATCCCAGGGCACTGGTTCCTTGCAGGTAGGATCATTATGTGTATTTTTTTATTGTCTGTAGTACTTTGTACCTCAGAGTGTCTCAGTATGTCTTTGACTAAGGGTTTTTTTTTTAATGATGGAATGAAAATTCATATAAGTCAATGATTTTCAGTCATTGCTGGGTTTCAGGAATCCTGTAGGGGCCCCACTTAGGCCCCACCCTATCTGTAGGCTTGGAATTTCTCAGTGTATTTTAAGAACCATCACCTGGGGTTCTGACTCACCACCAGGGTTCAGAACTGGTGATGCATAGTGTTGACTTAATGTAGGTGTGGGAACCGTTGACCTGGATCAAGGTCACATTGCATTGTGTGGGGATACATGTGTAGTCCTTTTCATTCACTCTGCTACAGAGAACAGCTCTATTAGACAAGGAGCCTTTGCCTTCTCCACACGCATCTCCCAACACTCATAACCCCAACCCCCAATTTCAGCCATGTGTCCCCTGTACTTGGGTTGCCCTCTGCCCTCCCCAGCTCACTGCTCTGTCTTGCAGGTGTCAGTGTAAACAGCCCCTTCTCCCACTCCCTCTGCTGAGTCTGTTCCCACTCCCCCCTTGTGCTGTCCCCTGCTATGAGAACCTGTCATGGGTTAACATCTTAGAGGAAGGGTCAGGTTGCTCAGTGTGTCCTCCTGGACACTGCTCGGTCTGGCCCTGGACCGTTGTTCTTCCTCAGGTTCAAGTGCATCTGATGCTGGGTTCAGCACACTTTTCTGAAGGAGAACAGGGTAGGCCCATGTAGACCTTCAGCCACCTTTTGCTGACTTTTTGTTTGGCATTCTTTAATAATTGAGCCAGCTCTTTAAAACAAAAAACCTAGGATTTTGTTATTGAGAATCAGAGGGTCTGTCCACCGTAAACGGGGCATTTATCTTTGTGCTTGCTTCTAGAGGCTTCCTTTTTCCTATTTCCTCAGCTTTTCTTATGGTGGGAAAAAAAAAAGATTCCCTATGTCTGATGGAGGCTCTGTGATTCCTCCTTTAGATCACCAGTCTGATCCCCATGTATGTTTCTCTCTGAGACTCCCCTGTGTCAGATGACAAAACTAGAAGAAGTTAGTAATGAGTTTGATGTCCTTTATTTAGAAAAAACAATCCAGGGATTCCAGGGATTGGGGGAGTGCAGGGCCCCACCTGCAGTGAGCACTCTTGCCCAGAGATCTGGGGCAAGACAGTGTTTTACAGAGGGTTAAAAGAGACAGTGCAGAAAGAGGTCATGACTGGTTGGAGGTCTGGGATTTCCTGATCAGGACAGCAGGTCCTGTTTTCCAGGGTAAAAGTAACTGAGCTAAAGCTGATGTGGGGGGCTGTGGTTGATGTAAGTTAGGTTTCATTGATGGGGTTTCTGTAAGAGCACGCTGAGACTTAGGTTTAGATTTGTGACATGGGCCGGGCCAGTGGGGCAGCCTCCATTTCTTGGGGGCCAATATATGAATTAACATTATCAGCCAAAATGGGATCTTTCTAGCAAGGGCAGACAGAGGATGGATGTAATGATAGCATGGTCATTGTGTTTGTTGTCCGGTAATGTGTTAAGTAAGTTTACAAAGCTTTGTCAGACTTAATGATCTCCAACCAACCCATTAGACTTCGGGAGTAAGATTAATAATTGTCCTTGGTTGTATGACTGGACACTAATGGTATAAAAAAGACACAGCAGCTACCTGGGGCTCGCAGGGGTGGATACATTGCTTGTGAAGGGTGTTAAGCTGCAGAGCTGGACAATTACAGATATTACAGATTCCTTCCCAGCTGTCCCATGAGTGATTCCATTAGGTTTTCAGGTCTGTGAAGTTCAGAATAAATAGTGAATTTTACATTTAATCTCTCTTTTTTCCTTCCCCTTATTTACAGCTCATTTATAATAGCTTTGCTGAGTTCCTGGTCAAGGAGAAAGGGTATGACAAGGAATTGCTCACTGTGACTCCAGAGGATTGGGATTTCTGGTGAGCAGCTTTTTTTTTAAGGTCCGCACATTTTGAAATGTTGAAATGTTGCTGAAAAAATTTTAATGCTTCCTCTTCTATGGAGGCAGAAAGTGAAATGTGAAATTGAGTCAAAGGACAAGATGCCTTCTACACTGAAAGTTTTATGTTTGATGAATTAAAGTCTTTTCTACTTTAAGTTTAGACTTGCTTAATTCAATATGAAAATAAGCTAAGAGCATATGTGACTAATTTGGATATTTTTTCCTGGTTTAAGTCTGTGATTAAGAGTTTCAATGGTTATGAAGAACTGTCTCTAAAATTTAAATCTTTTATAAAAAATCATCTTTTATTACCCTTCAAATACGGAACTATAGGAAAAGAGGAAATCATCATGTTTTGAGTGATGAATTAGGACATTTGTTTTTCTGTAGTTTGTGTAGCTGTTCCTTTTTCTGAGGCCCTGACTGCATACATGCTTCCTGGGTTAGGAGTCTTAAATTCCCAAGGCCTCTTTTGTCTTTCTTCCTCATTTAAACAACAGAAAACAAACAAAATTACTGTTAAGCCACTTTAAATTGTTTGGTTGAAAATTAATGGTAGTCCTAAAACATATGAAAAAAACATACAGAAATAATCCTATAGCAACAGCGTTCCTCTATTATACATTCCTCCAACATTTAGTTAGTTCTCTTTGATTTATCCCTTTTGGGAAAGGAAGAAACAAACATTTTGCTATATGAAGCCTCTGACTCTGAAAATTTTACTGTGGACCAAAGTAAATAATGCGCCTAAAGTACCCTGTCACTTTTTTTTGTTTCTTTTGGTATTTGGTGGCTATTATTCCTTCTTGCTTTTATTATTCATAATAATGAATCTGTACCCACTTTCCTCCCCAGGTCCCATAAGTCTTTTACAATGAAAAACCTAAACTTAATATTTGACTTTCTTTTAGTGGTTTTCAATAATGCACCTTGCCCAGAGGGCTAGTTCTGACAACCTGACCTAAATTGAGGCAGATTCTAAAGAGTACAGAGAAGATTGTGGCTAAGATCTTAACTTGTAGAATGTGAATGTGTGCTTGTGTGTGTGTGTGTGTGTGTGTGTTTTATTAATGGAATACATTTGTACATTTTAACAGAGACATGCAGTGATGTTCGTTTTTTGTTCTCTTTGAGTTTTTTATTCCTCTTTTTAAAAGCTCAAAGATTTTATACACTAAACATGCTGTCCTTGCTTTACCCATATAAGTTTTCCTTACATACTTTCTCTGAAAGTGATATTTAATTTTGGAATGCCTGGACATTTTTACTTGTTTGATTAACATATCATTCATCTGAGTGAGAGAATCTCTTTTTTAGCATTGTGACTTTTTGAAAATATAGATTATAATTTGTTGGGTTAGGTAAATACATGAATTGATTGGTAATCAAACTTTTCTATTTTAGTTGCAAGGGCCTGGCATTGGATCTGGAAGACGGGAACTTCATTAAACTTGCAGATAATGGCTCCGTGCTCAGGTAATAAAATTTAGTTGTGAAGTCAAAACTTTATTCTTTCCAAGACACTCTATTACTGTATAGCATTTGATTGTTAAGGTCTGAGGTAAACAAGATTATTACTTTAGTTGATCAGATGACAGATTATCAGTGTGCCTTCATGTCTTTGTATGAATCATTTGAGCTATTTAAATATAAATCTGGGAGCGTTGGATTGAAAGGTCTAGTTCTTTAAATTTAGCTCATCAGTAATATCTGCAGGAAATATAGCAGAATGTTAAATAACTTGCTTTATCCTCTTAACCACTCCTACTGCAAAAGAGCCTGGGAACTACATTGTGTTAGGTGGGCATGTAGGAATAAAATAGAAGTTTTTTTTTATTAAGGAAGAAGAGGAGAACACACGTTGAATAGCAGTTGGTGGTCTCTGCACACCTCTCTTCCTCTGTTTATCCAAATTTGTCCCCATCACACAGGACTCGTGTTGTGTCTCAGCTCCTTCTGGAAGTGTTTCTGGACTGTTCCAACCTTCATCAGTGTCTCTCTGCTCCTGTACTCAGTGCTGACTCTCTTTCCCTCCCTCTTCTCAAGATGAATCCAATACTTTGAGTGTTGGTTAGAGTAGGGCAAGCAACTGAGAAGCAGCTGCTCTCAGTGTTATGGGGGCACCATGGAGTGAGCATCTTTCCCCCCAAGTACTGACAGTACAGGCAGGTCAACATGACCGTGCAGCTGTGCGGTTTATTATTTACACTGACATGTTCAGAGTCCAAGGAGAGGATGCTCAGCACAGGTCACCCCTTGTATGTGCTCTCCCTTTTGTACATCATTCTTTTTGCATACTACAAACTCACACTCTCCCCCAGACCATCTGCTAAGGCGCTGCCTGCTAGAACAGGTGTGGTTCCACTCCTGATTACTTTGCTATTCATTTACATGTTTTTCCTCAGGCAACTAGAGATGGACTCTGTGTATGTATATATACACACACAGTGCAGCTTTGACCATGACCTTTAATGCTGCTGTCAGATTCTTACAGTGTACGTGGCTGTCTTCAGTCATGGTTAAAAGAATAGAAAGCATTCCATGGTTTTGCTTCTTTTCTTTCATTGTTATGTCTGTCTGTTTGTCCCTATTCCCAATACCCTTTCCCTAAAGTCCGACCTTCTCTAGTCAATTTCTAGCTAACCTGCAGCTTCTCCTGAACTTAGGAGTTTGTCTCCTCAATGCCTCCTTTCAAACAATACAGTAGATTCCTGGTCTAATCGTATTTCCCACTCAGGGTTCGTGCACTTTTACATAAAGCTTTCTAAAATGTTAACCACTTTATAAAAAGGATCCCTTTGTGATTTTTTTAATCTATTTGCCCTTCTTATTTTGTTTCCTTGTCCCTTCATTTTGCTCTGCTGCCACAATAGAACACCAAGAGAATAATGACACTCCTTAGCATTCTAATTTCTCATAGTAAACTGCATAAAATAGCAGCTGCATAAAATTTACAAGGTAAGATTCTCTTAACCAGGCCCAACTGATGCAGAAGCAGCATTTTGAACACAAAGAATAGCTGCCCTTCTGCTTTGCTGTTCTACGTTCTGCCGCCTTCGCCTTGCCGTTTCCCTTTGTGTTTTTAGCTGCGGCGTGTCGTTGGGCGGTGGGTTGCTGCCCTGTTGTCTTCGCAGCCCCTGTGCTCAGCCCGGCCTGCGACCCGTGTGCTCTGACCCCGCTGCTCATCTTCATAGTTAATTGGCAACTTCTTATGCAAGGGCGGTGTGGCATATTTCTCCCAGGGAAATTAGAGTTTATAGGTCAGAGCAAGCAACTACCGCGGCGTTGACCTTCGAGTGGCGCCTGATCGCTTGCTGGTTGGAGGATGAAATGGAGGAAGGACGAGAGCTGTCAAGGGAAAGGCCTTATAGAATCCTCAGTGGGAAAGTCACCCAGGTGAAAACATTTTTTTAAAAAACGGGTACTAGTTTTAGGGTGAATTAGCAGTAGCAAGGCTGGAGGAGGGGTGTTCATTGGAGCCACGGATGAGCAGCAAGCGTCCTGTCCCCAAACCAGGGCCAGCCACGGCACGCGGATGATGGCCCCGGAGGCGCTGGCGGAGGAGTACGGCCGGAGGGAGTGGAGGCACTTCCCGGCGGACGCGGCCGTGGCCTGCCGGTCAGGTAGGGCTCCTGCGAGGGGCGGCGCCCCCAGTCCCCCTTCCCGTTTTGGACCCTGGACCTGTGACGTGAGGCCAACGAGGAGCACCCTCCCTGCCGCCTGCTGGGCAGGATGCACGAGGGAGCAGCTGGGGTTTTATAAGAATAGGATGCGTTTTTCCCACATGTGTGGCTAAATTTCTCTTCCGCGGTTGGTTCTGTTCTATTTCACATTTTGTTGATTCTCCTTTTACTTGCGCTGGTTCCAGAGTAAAGGAGCCTAGCACTTAGGAATGATCCATTCGTCGTTCTGTGTTTTTAGCGATGTGTGACATGCTCAGTCTTCACTTTTATTTCTCCATCCCCCATTTCACCCTGCCACTTTGAAGGGCACCTGTTTTCCTTTAGAAAAGCGCAGTAACTGGAAAATAGTTGGAGTTACTCCTTATTACTGTTGTGTTTTTGTTTGCTACATTTGCTACCTTTTGGGAGTTTGTTTTGTTGTAGGGAGGCGAAAATGTTGGGAAGTATGAGTTATCTGGATAAAATAAGTTGATAGGAAAAAACTGGGATTTTCGCCTTGGGGTTAGGTGTAGAATGCTTTCACACATCTCAGCTCAGCTAGTGGGAGTTAAATGGGTGGATTGCCTTTTACTCAAGTGATAGGAGATGCCTGTTCTCTGTTCAGTTGGAAGTACAGGTGACTCTTGAACAACATGGGTTTGAACTGCAAGTCCATTTATTCTCAGATTTTTTTTCCCATAGTAAATACTGCAGTGCTACACGATCTGCGATTGGTTGAATCCATGGATGCGGAATTGAGGATAAGGAGGGCCGACTATTAATTACACTCAGATTTTGGACTGCGTGGAGGGTCAGATCTCCTAACCCCTTCTCCATGCAGTTATTGATGGCTCAACTGTAAGCTCTTTTCCCATAAAAGCGAGGCACACAGCTAAGTGTTTTATTCTGACATCCATTCATGAATCAGGAGTATTTTAGAGAAGTAAAGTATTTCCTAGCTACAAAGAGCTTGTACCCAGCGTGACCCATCTGTTTACTCACTGCTCTGCCCACTGGAGCGCGCTGCCTCCTGGCACCAGTAGCTTTCTTCTGGTGCTTGAATTACTCAGGAGCGCTCTGAGGATGGTCTGCAGTTTATTTACTCCTAACTGGGTTGGTTAGGGAAGTGTTTCCCATCCTGGTGCCCAGTGTTCAGGCTGTGACACTTAATGGAAGCCTACTGTTTCTGAAAAATAGCAAAAGAAAGCTAATGCCTCAGAAAAATAACACATTTTTAAAATGTAGAGACATATAAAAGAAGGCGAAAATGGCCTATAATTCCAGTTAAACTTTGTTCACACTTAAAAAAATAATGTGAGCATATGGCTAGGATATTTAAACACGGAAAGGAATAAAGTGATGAGCAATCATCTCCAAAGCTGTTCTGCAGAATCCCCTTTCCCCAAAGCTAATTTTTTTAAGTATGCGGAAGAATCATACTTTTTCTGTGCTTTGCTCTTTCTCATTTGCGTCTTAGAGATACCATCACATTTGCACACACACAGATGTACATCATTCTTTGAAATGCGGGCGTGCTCTGGCCTCCGGTGCCTGTATCCGGATTTATTTCGTCAGTGTCCTCACATCGCACATTTATGTTGTGTCTGCTGTTTGACCGTTACAAACAAGCCTGCAGTGACGTTTTCATACATGTGTGTCTTACACTTGTAAATATAAGTTCCTTGAAGTACCATTGCTCTAAGGATATGCAGGGTTTACAGTATTGCCAAATAAGGCCTTTATTTTCAGGAACCCTGATCGATTTTTTAATGTGCTGCTTCCCTCTGCAATGAGTGTATTCATCCTCAGAGTTAAGGAGAGACTTGTAAAGTGCAGTTCCCTACCAGTACACTTAGGGAATTTGAAGCATTGATGGATACAAGCATTTTAGTAACAATTTATTTGATAATTGCTTTTCTGGTGGTTGCTGTGGCATGAGTATGCTTTATTCTTGCCAGCCGATTTCCAGAGAACAAAGCCTTTTGATCTTTTTCTCCCCAAACTGGTAGCTTATGCAGAAACAGCTTGGTCTAATGGAAATCACAGGGACTTAGAGCCAGACAGTCCTGGACCATAGTAACTCTGTTACTTGCTGGGTAAAGTGATCTAGTCAATTACTAAGCCGCTCTGAGCATCACTTTCCTAATCTTTAAATGAAGATAATATCACTCGTCTGCATAAGTGAGAATGTTCACTAACATGAATTGTTCTCTTCCCCTGAGTCACTCCTGTGCCTTTGTTCCATAAGAGTACATAGTTTGCAAGGGTGAGGTGTTGGCAGTGGGTTTTGGGGGAACCATTTTTCTAAACCTTAATGATTACAGGACTTGGTCTTGATTCAGAGGCTTATTCTACTGAACTGAGCTCACTAATCACCTTCCCCATGAGCTGTCCGCCCTGTGGTGGAGGGTCGAAGCTTTCATGAGCATGGTCTCGGAGTTCTGGTGTTGGGAGAGCCATTGAGAACAGCCTGTCCCTGTTAACGTCAAGGCTGAACAGGCCCCATTGTGCCCACGCAGTGGTCATTCAGCCCATGTTTGACAATCAAGTGACATCAGCCTCTTGCCTTGAAGGTGAGAGTCAGTGAGTCCTTCTCATCAAACCCCTGAGTTATTTGATTAGACCCCAACCAAGGCTCATAATCTGTATTTCAGCTCCTAAACTGAACTTCATCTGTTATCGCCCACAAAGGAAGGGGAAGGGGAAGGAGAAGGGGAAAAGCACGGGTTCAATGATGACACACCTCCTGCCCCCACAGTGCCCGGGGCAGCTGGCCATATGGGTCAGGCAGGTCACTCAAGTGTCACAGGCCATTGGGTGAGATGCAGTGCAAGTCAATGAGCCTTGGGAAGCTGTGCCCACTGTCCTGGGTCTCAGGAGCTCTGGTCTCAGGAGTGTGGTGTGGTCTTACAGCACAGCAGTGTGGGCGGCGGTGTACCTGGGGTGTCTTCTTCTCCAAATACCTGCTGCCTTACACTGACAAAGGCATCCTAACCTTTCTTAGGAATGAAAAATAGTCCGAGATGTTACCGCACAAGTTTCAGCTGTGTAAGATAAAAACAGGAAGACAATGCCAACCAAAATGTTTTTAACTGAGGGAAAGGACATACAACCCTATGCAATCATTTTGTAAGTTAACAGAACTTTGACTTTACTCCCTATGCATTCTTAATAATTTGATATGAAGATGTGAGGGGCACTAAATAACATTTAAAGGGATAGACATCTGTCCTCTGCAGAGAGCTTTCTCTTAATTTACCCTTCATTCCAAACTACAGTTGATCCTTGAACAGCTCGGGGGTAGGGGCACTTAACCTCATGAAGTTGAAAATCTGAGTATAACTTTATGGTTGGCCTTCCCTTCCTGGGGTTCCTCCCTATCTGAAGTTCTGCATCTGTGAATTCAGCCAACTGCAGATCACAAATCGTGTACTACTGTAGCATTTACTCTTGAAGAAAATACACGTATATAAGTGGACTTGTGCAGTTCCAACCCGTGTTGTTCAAGGGTTGACTAATCTGTTCTATTATTAGATCGTTCAGTCATTCAACAAACATTTATTGAGTGCCTACAATGTCCTGGACATTGTGCTTAGTGGACAGTAAGGAACAAGACACCAGTGTTCCATAACCTCATACACAGCTTACAAGCAAGAGGAGGGGGCACTCAGACTCAGGCAGTTATTAATACTCTGCACAAGAGTAGTTATGATCATTTGAAAAATACTTTCTTAATTAAGTTAAACTGAAATCTGGCTCCACCTATTGGTTCTGTTTGATTCCTCTTTGAGTTTTCTAGAGGACTGTGTGGGCTTGAGTTCTTCCCAAAGCAGAGTGGTTGCTCCTGATTCCAGTATGTGGGAGTGAGATAGTGGCGATGGTGTGACACGGAAGGAAAGAACGGTGGGAGCTGGATTCCACTTGGACTTATGAGAAGAAGCACTGAGAATGCCTCCCGGAGTTGTCAATCCAGGGATAGGAACCATGGGCATTCGTTCACCGCCTTCTGATCCTCTTGGCTGAGGCTTGTCACATGAGCTCCAGAGGCTTCCAGAGAAAGGGAGTGACACAGGTGTGCTTGAGACAGGATGATGCTCTTCAGCACAGCTAGCTTTGCCTGCGATCAGACATGGACCGAGGTGACGTAACATGGGTCCTCAAAAGTGTTTGCCCAGGGACAGCAGATTCAAAATTGACATCGGTGCCAAGAAAGGGCTCAAGTTTAATTCTACCCTAGGGCCAAACAGGATAAACCAAGTCCTTCTCCTCCCTGAGATCCTTGAGTGTGCCTGTCCCATGCTTGTGAGTTTTTCTAAGTTAAGCACACTGTGTCCTCACGTGATGTGATTTTTTTTTTCTCATCACCCTGGCTGTTCTCACTGTACTGAAGTTTGTCTGAAATTGCATAAATTGAATGAGGGACTCTAGGGGGATATGGAGAATCGTGTGGATCACTTAATGGTATTCCAGTGTTAGGGTGATGGTTTCGAAATTCAGTGACATTGATAACATAAATTGAGGCTTTTTTGTAATCCATTTTGTATTTGGGATATGGTCTATGTTTAGTTTTCACATTAAAAAATAAGTTTTTTAATAAAATGCTTAACTTAATGGATATCATATTTTAACTTTCTTGTGCCCTTGAGCTCAAACCTTCTTTAAAAGACAGTGATAGGCTGGAGTGGAGCCATTCTGAATTGAAATAGAGGCCCCTTTAAGTAACTAAACCAAAAGCCAATGTCTCTTCAGCCAAGTTTCTGTGTATGTCACATAAACGAAGCATTAATTTGTTCCCACTTTAAAATTTTGTTCTTTTTAGGAAAATATTATTTTTATGATAACTACTTTGACCTGCCTGGAGCTCTTCTATGTGCCAGAGTGGTGGACTCCTTAACAAAGGTGAGCAGGGACTCATTTTTTAGAAACTATGATATGTATTCAACCATAAATCAGAGGACTTAATTATATATGTCGTTTGAGATGATATTTTACTCAGTTTCCTCTTTGTGGTTTCAGGGGTGATTGAGGAGGAAAAACACAGAGAATTTGGTCAAAATAGTTTTGGAAAATTAAATAGCAACCATTTTCCCCAGGGATAATAAACCTATTCTCCACCAGGGGGTGCAAAATTCTAGAAAAAGAAAATACCAAACTTGCATATGGAAAAAATATTTTCTTGGTTTCATTAGCAGCATTAAAAAATAAACAAAACAAGTTTTAAAAATTCCATGTGACTTTTTATGCATTCTAAATAACATAAAACCAGAAAAATGAGGTGAAATTTTTAAATTCATCATTTTGAGCATAGTTTAACACATAAAGACTTTCTCTTTGTCCTGTGTGTCAGGATCAACTGGATCTCTAGTTATATCAGTTTGTACTTGGAACTTAAGACCTATGAACATAAACTGGTTTTATGTCAGAATCACTTTCCTTTTTGCATGTGTTGTCTTTAAAAATCTCAATGGTCATGTTTCTAGTAGAACATAGATAATGGATAATTTTTGAATCAGAATTGCAGTCATGTGTTTGTAGAAGTTTCTGTTGAGCAATAGTTCTGGTTTGTAGACGTTGCTATTATAAGATGGAATCCATTTCTCACTCTATAGTGACTATAAGCAAACGCATCAGTCTTTAAATATTTCAGAGTTTGTATTATTAGATACAAATATCTAGTAGTTGGTCTTTATTTGGATAGAAGGACACTGATTAATGTTTCCAAGGGAGCACAGGGTTGTAGGCTTATGTGTTGTCATGTTTATTTGCTTTCTGGTTAAAAAAAATCTTAATAAAAATGATTTGAATTTTGGATTTAGAATCTCTTGCATCTCTCTTATAGAGACTTGCTGCTCTTTTATATTGAAATTCAGGTAATTGTGCACAGAATTCTAAGGTAACCAGCTTTTGTGGTGTTGAGGCTTCAGGCCTCTTAGCCCCATCAGTGCCATGGTACATGAAGTGGTGCAATCTGGTATCTTGGAAGCTATAACATTATAGATTTACTCTTGGGTTTAAAATATTCTATAATTTTTAGCCTTTATAATGAGTAGAAATTTTAATTTTATTTGGGCTATATGAGTTATATTAATATTTAGTCTTATGTGTATAACAATCTATCTCTAGCAGTGATTTTCATGGAGGATTTCTTTCTAAAATCACATTTAGAAGAATGAGAAGCTTATTAATCTGTTACATTTTTTAAAATATGAGTCTCTATTTTAGAATATAGTAATATTGTAGTTATTTGCCACGTGTTTTCTACTATGCTTAAAAGCAGAATTATGACGTGTTACATTTGGATTTTTTTTTTTTTTAGCACAACGGTCAAAAACCATTTGATTTTTGGAAGGATGTAGTTGCTGGTATACAATATAATTATAAAATGTCAGCTTTTAAGGGTGAGTAATATGAAGAGAGACTTTACATATTTGTTAAGTGCTGTGTGTCTACTGAATTACTTAGAAATGACCTGTTTTTCTGTGTTTCTTAATTTGGTCTTATATGTTGCTATAATGTTGATACTGGTTATATTTTAAGAAGTTCTTTTATTCATGTCTATTTCATGGCCATAATTGCCAGTATTCTAAGATGTGCTGTCTTGTGCATGCCTACCAGTAGAATCATTTTGTGGGTTCCCCAGAATTTGCTGTTTCCTGCCTTGGGAAAGAGGGTTGGTGACACCTGTAACCATTACTGTAGTAATTAAAGAAAGGTAGGGAAAGTGAAAATCTCATTCTTGTTGCTTAAAAACAAGACTGGCTCACCCAGAATAGGGGCAGAGATATCACCAAATCAAGCCTAGGGTTTTATGGTTCCATCCACATGTCTGCTTGGGTCACACAGAGAGATTGCTTCTGAGGAATAAAGAGGTGCCTTTATAGTATGTTACTCTGGTGACTTGAGCCAGACTGTCCTAATTCAGCCAGTGGACTGATGGATGCTCAAGAGTAGTGTTTTTCAGCTGGGAAAAATGTTGCCTTTTGATTGATATAAAAATTGCTTGCCTTCCTTTTAATGGAATTTAAGCCATCATAATAATCCTAAATATTATGACTAAAAACAAGTCAAGGCAACAAATAGTAACTGTGGAATATTTGTTCAAACTACATATTTTTCTGCCACCTGCTTCTTTCCCTCCCGGAAGAAAATCACTGCTGTCGGGTGATGGTCTTACTTTTCTGTTCCCAGTTTCCAGTCCTCAACCCTGGCTCGTAGACTGCATGTGGTTCCGATTGATAGCTCTCACAGTGCACCCTGAGTGCTTGGGTGGTGGGAATGCCCATCTCCAATAGAGGGGCGTATCCATGACACCTGTCAAAGCTCCCCGCCACTTTATCATTTTACTTTTTATTAACTTTGTAAAATGAAAAGCCTTAAAAGATTGGTTGAGAATAGCAAATTGCTGGTGTCAAATAAATTCAGCATAATAATCTATTGATGTTATTTTATTGCATTGTAAATGAAGAGTAGGTAAAACATTTCGTGAGGCACAGCTTAAAAGGTTTAAACAGCAACATTAAAATACAGTACAGAGCGTTAATAAATAATATCTTTTCATTTCTAGTCAGATTTTGAAACCCTTGACATTAGTTATAATTTTACTGAAATGGGAGGCCCAAGGTATATATGCTAATACTCTGTAAACCCATAAGATCGTATTACATAAGAGTCAATAAGGAATTTAAGCAAATTAATCACATTAGCGTTAAATAAATAAAATAGGTCAGACACCCATTTCCAGGTTGTAAAGGGTGTATAGAAAGCTTTTCTGCAGTCAGAAAAGTTTGGAAAGGTTCATGACTAAAGCACCTTGCATTTCCGATTAATTTTAGCACAATATTCTGGGTTTTTTATGAAAGCTGTAAAAAGTCTATATGCACCTGTATACTTGAATATATACTGATGAAGGGGGCTCTTTCAGCCTTTGAGTAATGCACCATCAGAAAGATCTTAGGATATACAGTGTCTTTTAAATTTGAATATTCAAGTAGTTAAGTCCCATAAAGACACACATCACCTCCTAGATGTTTCCTAGAAATTCTCCTGCTAATTGTTAGAAACGGGCTTATTTTAAAAGGAAATGCTGAATTTCTGACATCAAATTTAACATAATTTGGTGTCACATTTCAGGGTTTTTGGTGGTAATTTTTTTAGGTTAGCAGGACTTTTATGGTGAAATTTGCAAATACTGAAGGAATTCACAGAAAACTTTAAAGAGACTTAGGATTGCTGACCAGAAACTCTCGAGGGTCTTCACATATTGTTTCCCGTCTCTGACAGCCCAGACCTGTATTTTGGAAAACTAAAATTAGTCACATTTTCTTTCAGCCTACTTCCATATGCATTTGTGGGGCAGGGTGGAGTTGGGGGAGGCCTTTTCAAGCAGAATAATACTAGCTGGCTGGGAACATGCTCACATCGGAGCTACTAAGAATCCTGAGAAAGAGGAGTGGACATACTCAGAGGAGTACAGCCCGTTTGTCCCTGCATTGGGCAGCTGGAGCCACACCTGGTCGTTTTCTGTGAGATCGATTATGGCGCTACCTGAAGCCTGATCCAGGTAGCCTTTGACGTATTCATCGTAGGTGTACATTACAGGGGTGCCATTCTTATACAGGCCCACCCAAGCGTGGGTCCCTTTCACATGTATGTGGTAGGAGAAATAATATATTCCTGGTATCTTGCAGGTGAAGATTCCAGTTCTTGGGTCATAATGCTTCTGGCTATTATATAAAATCTTGTCAAATGGGATGGGACTGCCTATAGCTGGGTAAGCTTTAGAGAGAATAACAGTGAAAGCAGACACAGGCATTCCTGTTACTCCCTGGTTGGCACTAACAAAAGGCCTTTGGCCTGCCTTTACAAAACCCTCTGGCAGGACCGCTTGGCCTGGGGGCCCTGGGGGTCCTGGGGGCCCTGGGAGGCCAGGCTCTCCAGCATGGCCTTTTGGACCTGGAGGCCCTGGTGGCCCAGTGGGTCCATTGAGGCCCTTAGTTGCTATGCCAGCAGGACCAGGAGGACCTGGAGTTCCTGGATCCCCTTTAGATCCAGGAAATCCTGGAATGCCCGGTGGTCCAATGGGGCCTCTGGTACCTGGTATTCCAGGGGCACCTCTTGGACCAGTCTCACCATTGTGTCCAGGCAATCCCTTAGCTCCTGCTGGGCCCACAGGGCCTGGGAGACCAGGAGGTCCTCCAATTCCACGGTCACCTTTTGGGCCTGGTAACCCTGGGTTACCTTTGGGACCATTGAGACCTGGCTCTCCTGGGTACCCTGGTTTTCCATCTAACCCGGAGGTGCCCCTTTCTCCCTTAGCCCCAGGGTATCCTGCAGGCCCCACTGGCCCTGTCTCACCTTTAGGCCCTGGGATCCCATCATTGCCTGGGATGCCTTTTGGCCCTTGGGGTCCCATATTTCCAGGGGGTCCAGTGAGACCTGGTTCCCCAGGATGGCCTGCTGGGCCTTGTTCCCCTTTGGCACCTGGAGCCCCTGGAAGGCCTATAGGTCCTCTTTGTCCCTTCAAGCCTGGCAAGCCTGGTTTCCCAAAGCCACGAGCACCTGGGGGCCCTGCTATTCCCGGAGCCCCAGGCTGACCTTTTGTCCCTGGAACCCCTGGCTGGCCTGGGGCTCCAGTGGCTCCTGGCTTTCCAATGCCTTCTGGTCCCTGTTCCCCTGGAGGACCTTGGGGGGCCTGGTGAGCCAGTTGGCCCCCTTTCTCCTGGAAAGCCCCGATCACCTTTGATGCCTGGCTGTCCTGGAAGCCCATTTTCACCTCTCTTTCCCACCCCAGGAGGGCCAGGTGGTCCCATGGGACCCTGAGGGCCTGGAAGACCCCTGTCACCTGGGCGGCCAGGAGCACCATATCCCATTTCCCCTTTTTGTCCATTCATACCAGGAACTCCTGGTGCACCCTTTTCTCCAGGAAAGCCCCTGGGTCCTGGGGCTCCTGTAGGTCCCTGTTGTCCAGGTTTTCCTGTAACAGAAATTCCAGCTGGGCCAGGGATTCCAGGTGGCCCTGGTGGGCCCCGTGGTCCTGGTAAACCAGCTGGTCCAATATCTCCTTTTGGTCCAGATGGTCCTCTCTCTCCTTGTTTTCCTGGGAGTCCTGTCAAACCTGGCTTCCCAGTGGCTGATGGTCCCGGCGGTCCTGGCAACCCTGGCTCTCCTTGGGGTCCTGGACTTCCAGTGCCTGGTTTTCCTGGTGGTCCAGAAGGACCTGGGTGCCCTCGAGGTCCAACAGGGCCTGGTGGACCAGGAATACCTTGTTCTCCTCTTACTGCTATACCTGAAGACATGCACAATACACACACACCCAGAGGGGAGGTTGGTTAGTAATGTTAAAGAATCATTGCTTCTCACAGCATAAATGAGGACAAGACATTGCAGTTTCAGTCAGTCCATTTTGGCAGACTCATCTTAAATGGTTTCAGACAATACATTTTATATTTTTAGAAAACATTGCCAGAGACACTAACTACTATATATAAAATAGATGAACAACAAGGTCCTACTGTATAGCACAGGGAACTATATTCAATACCTTGTAATAACCTATAATGAAAAAGACTATGAAAAAGAATATATATGTATAACTGAATCACTATGCTGTACACCAGAAATTAATACAGCATTGTAAATCGACTATACTTCAGTAACAAAATTTTTAAGTAAAAAGTAAAAAACTGCTAGAGAAGAGGATTTCATAAGGCCATGGCTACCATAATACTTTCATTACATCCTAATGATTTGTGAAAATAAGCCAGAGTTGAAGAATTCATTTAGAATAAGAGTGCATTGGATATAAATTTATCACATTTATTTTAGGAAAATCATCTACCTAGAAAGGAAAGGGGAAAAAGATATTTGATAGAAAAAGAAGAAGGAATCAAGTAGAGAGTAAATGGGAATGAGTTTAAGTAACAGTTTTCCCTCACAAAAACTACTCTATAAGATAAAGGAAAAATACAGTCTATTCTAATTTACATCTGCCTTGGCCCTGCTGAACACAGGTTAGATTTAGGTTGATTTTTAACATTTTTTGACCTCAGTAATACTGTTAGCTCTTACATTCTCTGTTACTGATTTGAAATTGAAACAAGGAATTAGAGAATTAGACCTAATGGGCAAGGTACATAAAATAGTAAAGTGCTTTTATAAAGTTTTCTTTGATTAACACAAGTAGATATTGTTGATTTCATAGAGCTATGGGTTCATCAGAGCTAAATACTTCTACTGATATAATAAATTTAAACCAAAAAATCACTTGTTCAGTGCCTGTGATGTGAAATGTGCTGTGGAGCCACAAGTATAGGGAAAGCACAGGACACGTCCTACAAGAGCTTCAGTCACAAAAGGAATAAAGCAAGTGTCCATGTGATAAGTGCTTTAAGAGGGGTCC